GATATCATATCGCATTAACATCATATCCCAACATGCATTGCGGCTAAAACATCCAATCAACGAGCTTCAAGCTGAGGATCTTGGGTAATCTGTTCAGTGGGTGGTTTGTGGCATAGATATATATAAACACGTGTTTATATATATCTATGGTTTGTGGTGTGTATCGCTCTATATGTCCCTTATAGGCCTACGTCTGTTTCTGGTGACTTTATTTACGGCTAAAAAGCATGCTAAAAAGCCCAAGATTGTAGAATTAAATGAATAAATAAAAACAAGGATAATTGTGTGTTATTGTTGAGTAAATAACAGTGTGTTATTTAGAAAGGAATAACAAATTAGAAGGGAAAAAAGATTTCAGTATTTTGAGGCTCTAAGCCCCATTTATTTTCCTCACAGACGGGAAAAAAAGTCAGACATTATACGATTTAAAATAAAAACAAATAAATAAAAAAATCAAACACTGGCATGTAACTTACGTTAGAATAAATAGAATGGTTTTGAATAATATATGAGAGTAAAATCTACGTCACTTTACAGCCCCGCCCACTTTTGGGGAAACCAACGCTTTAATTTCAACGGCGATCAAGCCTGAAGCCACAGAGCTCTTATTTTACTGTCCTTTCTTCTTAGAGGAAGTACAGAAACGCGTAACTCTGGATTTGTTTGAATGTTTGAGGTGCAATAAACGACACAGCAGCTTTTTGGCAGGTGAAAATTATTATTTTCTGCCTCGCTCATGAGAGTAACAGCTGGCGAAATTACAGCCTCGCCTACTGATTTCAAATGTGTGCTCTAAAATGATATTTATAAATGACTATTATCATTATTATAAGTAAGACAATAAATGGTAAAGATATGTAGAAAATAAACGTATTTAAGATACGTTCATAAGAAACGTAACGGGAGAAAATATGTTTCTAGAAGATATGTAGAAAATAAACGTATTTGAGATACGTTCATAACGAACGTAACGTGGGAGAAAATACGTTTCTTGCTAAACGTAATTGAAAATGCAGCTTAGTTCTGTGGGAACGTAATTTTTAGAAGACAGAGTTGCCATGGAATATAACAAAAAGTGTATCTCGAGCCGGTTTCTCAAATGTACCTACCCCACCTTTAATTGACTAGATGTCCACTCACTAACTTTTGTAGAGCATTAATAGCCAACATTAGAGACAGAGGTTATAATCCCCTATGACAGACCAACCCATATCATGACCGGAGTTCATTACTCATATCAATAGAGCAACTCCCTCCACTGAAGAAGTTGACAAGGTGAAGTGAACCTAATATTATCTTGCTTTTGTCACACACACTAACATAATTTCCACTGAGTTATGTTTACATGGAGTAATGACTAATGACTTAATCCTCCTGACATCTGATCAACTCCTTTCACTCTATATAATTTGCTCTTTTTTAATTCCAGGCACATTTCAACGTGTTTATGACGGGGTGAAGGGTCAGTGTGCTCAAGTCAATGAACCTCAATCTAATCAACATGCAAAAAAACACACAACTGTGTCTGTTATCTGCAGTGAGAGTTTAGGCTGAAACTGAATTAGTGTGAATCTTGCAATTGAGTCCCCCTACACCGGAATCAGTACACCCTCGATTGTATTAGTTAATTTGCAAAGCTATAACCAACTACAAGTCTTCCTCGGGCAAAATGTGTTCCTTGTATTGCATTGATTTTTTTGGTATCCTTTACCCATATCCTACTGACACTGACAATCCTCATTTGAACCAGAAAACTTCTTGCACACATTGCTCATTATTTCTCCTGAGTCTGCCTAATTCTTCCATCCTGTTGTTAAGTAGCTTTCATTAGGGATGTAACAAAGTACAGAGACAGTGCCCTCTATATAAGCCTCTGTCTTTTCTCTCTTCCCCTCCCTTCATCCATGCACCACACCGATGATGTATGTGAAAGGTCGGGGGTCAGACCAGGTCTGAGTGCAACTCTTGTCTGACGATGACTGCTGACATTTGTTAAAGACCGCCATAACACTCATCAAAGAGAGAAAGCTTCAAAGCCTCATGGAGGTCTGTCACTGGCGCTTTATTTCTGCTCACAATATTGCAATAATGAGGGGATCCTGGCTTATCCAGCTCTCGTTCATTTTAAGGTGATCAAAGGAGGAATGCTCAGAGTTGTGGGTGGGTGAGCAACGCTCAGAGGTCCATGATGTTCTTACCTGAGCCCCACATTGGTTGCCTCTGTTCCTCACCAGGGTCGAAGGGATCCAGTTCCTGAGTCCAAAGGTCAGTGTGTCAGCAAGCTCCTGTTTGAGTGCGATAAATTAAAGTTTGCTCACGTTACTGTGAGGAGATAAATAAAATAGCAATGAGCGACATTAGCGCAGACCTTGCACCGGTCAGCTGGAGAGCGCAGAAACGCTCGGCGCAAGAAGCCGCATGCCCACAGTGAAGCTGCATCAAACAGAAAGCTGCATGATGTTCAGTTTCTTCCTCTTCCTCTTAATCCTCCTCTGTGTTTCTCTATATTCTCTGTTTGTTGTTTTTATTTGATCCTTCCTGCCGTCAACTCTTTCCTAGGAGCTAAGGAATCAAGTGCATGAGATTCCAGAGGCTAATTCTGCCTCTTAGAACGGGGGAACCTAATATGTGAGGACAACTGTGGAAGGAGGGAGATACAGGCAGAGAGAGAGAGAATGTGAGGAAAAGGAGGGGCAGGACCGAGAGGAGGGGGAACCAGCGACGGATGGCAGATCAGACGAAACAAGTGTGTGTTGTCGAGGAGGAGCAGGGTGGCAAGGCGTTGAAACTTGAGAGACATGAAGCAGAGCAGGAACATGTTGACATGGTGAAGCATAGAAGAATATGATTGGCGGATGAGTCAGATGGCTTACAGGCAAATAGGTTGTTTGTTTTAGGAAATGGGTTCCCCCAGAATTGGCTCTGCCTAACAGGTTCTTTCCTCAGATAAGGTTATTGGCTTGAATAAATGGTTTCTTAAAAAAGTAAGCCATTAAATTAATTAGAAATAAGGCCTCACATGGTCTTAAACTGTCTTAAATACGTTTTTAAAACATGGGAAGAAGGTTTGATGACACACTTCTTTCCTGCCATTACAGCAAGTCAAATATCAAAATAATTGGTAGCATCACTTTTTTGCAATACATACGTTTGGGATAGCGGACAAATAACAGTTTAAATTCGTCTTAAACGTATTTCTCTGAGGCTTTTTAAAAAGTCTTAAATAATCTTAAATCTAACTTGCCTTTAGCTTGCGGAACCGTGAATAAATTATACAAAAAATGTGCCCTACAATTTTTCAAACCATGGCTGAGGGGGAAAAGACTCATGAACTTTTGTGCTTTCATGCACAATTTTGAGCTAATATGGAGATGAAAGCATTGCAAAAAGCTGTAAGCACATGGACAAATCGTTAAAGCAGTGTGCTCATATTTTGTCTGATTCTTGCCTTTCTTTAAATTTTTTAATCACCTATAAAATTCCCAACTATTTTTACAGCCTCCTGTTGATGTTGCTTTTTCACTCTCACATCGCACAGTTAAAAGCATAATTTATCAGTAGGTGGCTCTTTTGTTTATTTGCACATGCATGTAGAACAGAATCAGGAGACATCTGCTCTTTTAAATAGCAAGAGTTAGACTTCGTAACAAATAATAGCAAGATGTATACAAAAACGGATGAAAACAAAGTAAAAAACATTTTTAAAGGGCCCATGTCATGCTTTTCCGGTTATTACCCGTCCCCTTGTGTGTTATGAAGGTTTTTATGCATGTAAATGGTGTGCAGAGTCAAAACCCTCAAAGTACACTCTGTAGTGAGTAAAACTCTAACACAGAAAATACCTCCCCAAAACCCCTCGTTGGTGAAACGTCATCATCCATTTGATTCTTCCGGGTACGAGATTACGTAAGCAGTTACACATTGAGTTGAGGTGCATGTTTTATTAATGTTGCTAATTAAAGTCCTTAAAACGCTGATCCACTGCCATGCAAGTCCAAAACTCTCTCAGCCTCTCAGTCATCCATTACGCAGTTAGTCATCCACTGAAACACCCAACGTGAAGTGCTGAAATAGCTGGGATGATTAAACTGTGGATGGCTGTGAGATGAACAGTGTCTGACAAAATGTACAAACATGATACTGTTGGGCTCCTGTGTGTGCTAGCATGTCGATTCCTCTCTGCTGCCAGTAAGTGTATATTCAGATTGGATATCGTAAATGTGCTTGCAACTGTGGTTTTAGGAAAGTATACGAGTATAAGGTGGAGGAGCAGGAGGAGAGGCCGGAGGTGAGACTGACGCATGGCGCAATGTCGACTAAATGTCAGCCCAATTCTGATATGCTAGAAGGCGGGTGAAGAATCGATCTACATTTTACAACTCACCTTGCAGGACATGCCGGATAAATGTGGGGTTAATTACAGGCTATCAAATGTAAATGAACAGTTTATTGGCATTTACTATGTGAAGTGCTTTTGTGTAAATGAGAGTGAGGCTGTTTAGAAAAACTAAGTGTTTTAATGTTGGCATTAAAAGCAGTTCAGTGCCATCCTGTCAGCCTTGGCAGGGTCCCACTGTGACACTTCAGAGAAAGAGATGCCCATGTAAACTTAGAGCCTGTTAATTTGAGGCAGACACCTTCCCTTTATTTCATTTGCATAATACACACACACACACACACACACACACACACACACACACACACACACACACACACACACACACACACACACACACACACACACACACACACACACACCTCTGGCAATATCCCACGTAGGGGTTAGGTTAAGGGACAGTGGGGAAGGACAGCAAACTGAAGCAGTAAGCACATTTCATCAGGGGGATACAGTTACACACATACACACACACACACACACACACACACACACACACACACACACACACACACACACACACACACACACACACACACACACACCCCTCCCCCTCAGGCTCGCTGTTCTCTATCCAAGCCATTCTCTCTCTCTTTATCTGCTATAAAATGTTAAAAGAACGCCCAGCATTACTTCCAGCAGAGAAATGCAGGACGTGTCTCTGTCTCTGATCTATAAATGACTCATCGATGTTTACGTACGTTTCCATTCCACTTGACATGTGGATCTATTTGGACTGAGGCACCTCATCCAAGCAGCTAATTAAAAGACTGTTGGCCGAAACGATGCTGTTACATTTTAACGGCCCTCTGCTCACCTAACTTTTACCCCAGGTTGACATTTGTGTCACATAATTAATAGTAACAGGACACCTGAGACTACGTTGAGATAGGGGATTTCTGTCCGCACAAGGTCAAGGAAGGTTGAATTGTTGGACACTTGCTTCAGAAGATCATTAACTTCTCATAATGGACCCTTTACTGTCTTCTCCAAAATCATTGAACTCCAAAATCAATAGTATGTACTGTATGTAAGGATGAGAGATACAATTGGAAACAGAACATATTAAAGGTTGTCAATGTAAGATCATTGTACACATTTGAAAAAGAGATAGATGTTAGATAATAAAACGAACTTGTGTTGGTCATAAGTATTCAAATCTTGTTCTTAAGTAAAAATAAAAACATGTTCAATTTTGTATAGACTCACCTACATCAGAATCATTTGTCTCATTGTATAAACAATAACATTTAAACCAATGAAAGAGTTTTACTTCAAATAGTAGTTGTGTTGTTCCTTCCATGTTTTTGGCTTCTTTTCAGCCCACCGAGCCAGCAGTCCTGGAGAACACTGTCTGTTTTTGTTCTTGGTTTTTTTTCCTCCGCAAAGATAAAAGCACCAACCACATCCCTCTTCCCTGTTTTAGACCTTGCTCTTCAGCGCCGCCTTTGAAGATTTAATCAGTCAGATTTCCTTGATTAATCCTTTTTCATGTCCTTTCACGGTAAATAATTACAGATACGATCACTAGCTGGATAGAGAGGACAGCATGCAGATTTCTGATAGAGCCGAGTCCCCAGGTACCTTCATTAGCCTGATTAGCCTGATCCAAACACACTCCATCAACCAGTTTACATGTAAATAGGTTCATTTCATTCCCACTCCTCGCTCACTCTGCTAGCAACACTGTATTTAACATTGGGAATCTTACCAACATGTGTCTGTTTTATTTAGTCTTTACCTTGTGCAACAATACTGTCAAATGTTTCATTTGCACATTAAAAAGGCTGATATTTAATCCAGCTGATTGTGTTTGACAGATGACTGAAATGCAACCTCTTATGAAGCTCAAGAACAGGGACTCTCTTTCTCGACTACAGTATTTCTAGAAGGCTTGTATCAGACCCCACAGTTACAGCAGGTTGTCTAATGGTGACATCTAGTGGCCAAAATACCCATCATCATCATCATCATCATCTTCATCATCACCATCATCTAGTTTTAGGATTTTATTTCAGTCACAAGCTTTCACCACTTGGTGGCAATGCAACTCTGCCTTTGACATTCATTGAGTCAGCACTAACAAATTAATCTCATGACAGAAACATTATTTCTCATTGGTATAAACATAACAGGCTGATGCTTTTTCCTGAACTATGAGTTAAGATACTTTTATCTGTGCCTGGGCGAGTCTTTAGCATCATTGGTTCTTTGTTGTGACTGTAGCTGTGAGCCGTTGTGAAACAGAGGAGAAGATGATCTGCTGCCCCGACTGCCCCTCTCCCCTCAGGATTAGTGAGTTAATGCAACCATTCAGACACTGAGCTCCGATCAGCTGCTTAATACTGTTTTATCCCAAATAACACAACCATGCACGCAGCATGCTGCTTCACAGACGCGCACATAAACATATACCTACTTAATCCAACAGATTAAATATACATTTTATATGTTTTTGAAATGTCGATCGCTCACTCGAAGCTACAATATGAATAAAAACTCTGTGAACGCTTTGTTTTCAGGATTTCTAATTTCAAAGAATTGTCTAAATATTTCCCAGATCTTAAATCCAAAGAGTTGTTAAAAATATAAGTCTCTTTGAAAGAGGTGCTCCATTTCACCCATAGTAAATATTAATGTTTTATTTTAAACTATATTATCTATAAATAAAAAAATGGTATTTGTACATTTGTGTATGCTCAGTTGACCTGCAACAAGTAAAAGCCTTTGAATGCAAGGGTTAGGGTTGAAAACTGTCTCTTTTTTATGATTTTTACCAATTTACCAGAAGAAAACATAGTATTTTACATACATGTATAAATGGGATTTTACATTAGTTAGCACGAGATATTGCTGCTGCCATCATGGTCTTATTTAGATCATTTGTCGTCACAGTCAGAGGGGTCAGGGGTCAAAAGGGACAAATTCAGCCCTTTGTTTATCTTGGGTGAAAAAGTGGCCTTTCAAATGGCAAATCCTTTCCCCCCTAAAACCCTGGTCTATCAGCGGTCTATCATCTATCATGAGGGTAAATCAGGAATATTCAACATATCGTGTGAGACGTCCTGTGCCTTCAAAGAGCAGAGAGATGCCCTGCTTTTTGTTATTCATCCGGCCCCTTCAAAGTCACTCCCTGGTCCCCCTGGTTAGTAGTGCAAATGCACTATGAACACACACACACACACACACACACACACACACACACACACACACACACACACACACACACACACACACAGGCTTATCCTAATCCTTGTGAAAACAAAGTCATATATTTTTCCCACCGCAGGTCAGGCGTGGGATGTTCATCAGCATGTTTATCAGGATTATGAGTATTTCATCCATAATATAACCTCTCACATCATACTTACCAAACACTCCAAATGTTCCAAATGAAAAGCTGTAATGTAAAGCAGGAATAGATGATGAGTTGACCAGCAGAAAGAGGACTCTACTGGCGACCATGACTCTTTCAGACCATTCCCACCAGTGAGCCATGACCCAGTGTGACCTTGTGACCCCCGCTCACTGACCTCTCAGTGGGTGGCCCTCACACTGACCAGCCTGGACCATGAATCAACACAAGTGGCTGCTCTTAGATCAGATCTTTGTTATTTTTTTGCCATTGTCTTCTCCACTTTGACAGTACATTTCCAGCCCGATATATATCTACTTAGTCAGTTATTTGTTATAACGTTGCCCTTTTCCAACTGTTGTCATTTAAACACGCATTACTTATTTTTCTGCGCCAAGGGTTTCTCAATCAAACAATAGCAGCAGACGGAGTTTGATGGAATCCATTTCACTCAGATTTGTTGAGGAGGATTCAAACAGCAACCGAGTTATCTGCCGATGTCTCCACGCCAAAACAAACTGATACCAGTTTTAGCAGTTTAAAAATGTAGTTTCTTTGACGGTGGTCAACTGCTCCTAGCGTATGCTCAGATTATCTTTCTGTCCTAAAATCTAGATATCCAATGAATAAAATCCTTCCAGCAGTTATGACAGCTTTTGGTAGACAACCACAACGATGCTTTAATGAAACGTACCGTTACAGTACCTTGTTTTAAATCACAGATTGCTCTTGGTTTGCAAATTATTGAAACATGTATGCAATAAATGTTTATGACTAAAAAACATAAATAAAATAGGTCTGGTTGTTTTTAGACTTTTAAATGTGGAAAGTATATATATCATGACCTAAATGTTTCTCCATTACTTTGTAATCCTCAGATTCACTCGTGCTTCTTCGTAGAAAAAATGGAAAGTCTTATATTTCCAACCCTATACATCCTGATTTAGATTGCATTAGGAATGTGTGTGTTCCTGAATGTATGTGTACAGTATATATGAAAGGTCACCAGTGTAAATGTAGAGACATGTGTTTATTACATATGTGAAGGTTAAGTTGTGGTCTGAGTGAACGTCATGACGGGATTATGTCGTCCCAGTGTGAGTACAGAAGAAATCTGTGTGGCTGGGCAGCCATGTTAATCATAAATCTTTATCTTACAATCCTGCCTCGCACATCCGCCCTTTCATTAAAAGACGGCCAAAGGATTAGTGAAGCTAAACCATTGAGATCTGGGGAGAAAAATGAAAAACAACGTAGCGAGTAACAAGGATCCTCGCCCTGTTGATGGTGCTGTTGAATTGATGGGTTCATATGAGAAAAAGAGGAAGAATAATTGCGCTGATAAATAATGTTAATATACTTTATGTCTACCTACACTCACCTAAACAAGCAACCAGAGTAATGACTCATAGCATGCTAAAGTACATGAAGTACATTAATCTATCATAATCCATGCTTAATCTTAATACCGTTTACCGATGGTAAAACAGTTGTGACTTGTTTTCTTGCATTGCAAAGACTCTATGCTGCATTATAATGGGTTATCATGTAAAACAGCAACATGTAGGGAATCCCAAGTAACCTGTCTCAGCATTTTTTATGGGATTTTAAATGAATCAGAAATCTACTTTTGTTTATGGTTTGTTAGAATATTCACTTTTAATATCTGAAATAAAAATGTACAAAATGTCTATCTTCTTTTTTTTTAAATGTTATATATATCTATATGTCTTATACCCTTAAGTACCATTCCGAAAGCAGACACATTTGACTTGCGTCTGCATTCAGGTATCTTCCATAATGATCACACACAGTATAATGCAGCATAGATTATTTTAAATGGTACATTTTGGGACTATGTTGGATACAAGTTATTTCACTTGAACATGTTAACCTACATTTATTGTATGATAAACCAAAAAAAAGGTCTGTCTGTCTATCTGTCTTTCTGTCTGTCTGTCTGTCTGTCTGTCTGTCTGTCTGTCTGTCTGTCTGTCTGTCTGTCTGTCTGTCTGTCTGTCTGTCTGTCTGTCTGTCTGTCTGTCTGTCTGTCTGTCTGTCTGTCTGTCTGTCTGTCTGTCTGTCTGTCTCTCTCTGTCTGTCTGTCTGTCTGTCTGTCTGTCTGTCTGTCTGTCTGTCTGTCTGTCTGTCTGTCTGTCTGTCTGTCTGCCTGTCTGTCTCACTGTCTGTCTCACTGTCTGTCTGTCTGTCTGTCTGTATCACTGTCTGTCTGTATGTCTGTCTGTCTCTCTGTCTGTCTGTCTGTCTGTCTCTCTGTCTGTCTGTCTGTCTGTCTCTCTGTCTGTCTGTCTGTCTGTCTGTCTGTCTGTCTGTCTGTCTGTCTCACTGTCTGTCTGTCTCACTGTCTGTCGTCTGTCTGTCTTTCTGTCTGTCTGTCTGTCTGTCTGCCTGTCTGTCTCACTGTCTGTCTGTCTGTCTGTCTGTATCACTGTCTGTCTGTATGTCTGTCTGTCTCACTGTCTGTCTGTCTGTCTGTCTCACTGTCTGTATGTCTGTCTGTCTCACTGTCTGTCTGTCTGTCTCACTGTCTGTCTGTCTCACAGTCTGTCTGTCTCACTGTCTGTCTGTCTGTCTGTCTGTCTGTCTGTTTACAAAAAGCAAACACAAAATCCACGGACTGATTGATTTCTTAATATTTTAATAACATAGAATTTTCAAAAAGACAACAGAAATGAAAAACACTAACAAAATGGACATGTCCAAAGCAAATGTGTTTTTCATATTTATTCATGAATAACCTGAGAATGACATTTCTGCTTCTGCACCTTGATCCTTGAATCTTGATGTGTAATCAATACATCTTTCTTCTCCAGACAACAGCTTCCGAAGATCAGCTACACCGCGCTAGGAATTCTACATCTGAATTTGTTTGGAGTGCAAAACATGAAATAATGTAACGAACAACAGAGGAAATGACACAAAAGTAATATAATAGATGAACTATCAACAAAGAGAGGCCTTGACCACATATGTACAAAAGGAAACCAGACACACAACTGCACATCAGCACAAAGTTCATTTACACTGAATTAAATAAGAGAATAAATAAAAATGCTTTTTAATTTATGTAGAATATCTGATGTTACCAAAGTTAAATTAGTGCTTTTATCACATTAACAGGACATCTGGTCCAAAAGGTCAATGCTACGTTTCTTGTAAAGACCCTTGGAGGTTCTTAATTTATTTGGTAATCAGATATCTAAATGTTTGTATTGGTTTCAAATACATTTCCTAATTTTAACATATTCAGCCGTGCTATTCTAGGTGCACAACACATGCTAGCAAACCGTGTTTTATGCTACGGTTCCTTCACAAGCATAGAGACTGATCCTGCAGTCAGTCAGTGTTCATGAAGGATCAGATCAGTTCATTGAGGGTTTGAAGCAGAATCTAAACTCCTGATCCGTCTTAGTCTCTGTAGACGGAGGTGATCTGTCGGGGGGGCATGTGCTGGGGGTGGTAGGAGTCATACGGCCCCTCTAAGTGTACGTCGTAGCCAGTCTGAGTCTGATACAGACCCTGCTCCACCGGGGAGGGGGAGTAGTGGTGTTGAGGGGGGTAGTGCGGTGAAGGCTCCTGTTTGGGCACCAGGTTGCTGCTGATGCTCAGAGGCGGTGTAGGGGGGCCGTCGTACGGAGGGGTCCCCACACCACCACCATTATACTCCTTTGGGGAGTGATTCTCATAAACTCCTCCTTTCATGGCCCTCAGGTGAAGCATGTGAGCAGAGTCAAACGTGCCGTACGGGGGGCTCGGCAGGCCAGGAGAGGAGTAGCCCACCACGCCACCGAGAGGAGCACCTGCCGCCCGGACCCTGTGTCTGTCCTCAGGCCTCATCCCGGGCCCAGACCCCGGCCCCAGCTGCAGGCAGCCCGCCACCAGGTTGCTGGTGGGCTGTGAGAGGCCCTTGCACAGGGTGTCCATGAAGGACCTGCTTTCTGTGGAGATGCCCCCATCCAGGGCTTCGGAAAGAGCGCAGATGTAGTTGCGGGCCAGCCGTAGCGTCTCGATCTTGGACAGTTTCTGTGTTTTGGAGTGACAAGGCATGATGGTGCGCAGGCTCTCCAGAGCGTCGTTCAGGCCGTGCATGCGGGAGCGCTCCCTGGCGTTAGCCTTGACTCGCCTCACACGGAAGCGCTCCTGCCGGGCCTTTGTCATGCGCTTTTTCTTTGGCCCACGTCGTTTGGACTCGTTTTCATCCCCCTGTCCCTCCTCGTCATCCTCCTCATCTTCTTCATGAGCATCCTCGCTCCCCAGCTCCCTGTCCTGTTCATCTCCTCCATCTCTGTAGTGGTGTGATGAATCTGATGCGTCTCCATCAGGCGAGCTCATGTCTCCGTCCACCCACTGCAGAGGGCTGGCGGCCTCCTCTCCCTCGCCTTGTCTTACATATGGCTTAATCATCATTGTACTGTAGAAACAAGAACAAGGGATTGTCAATTTCATGTGCTGTGCAAATAGAATCATCATTACCATTTTACAGCCAAAGAATGCCATTGGATAAAAGCTCATATTTACTGCATGTAATGCTAAATAAAACTAAGTAATGCACTCACTGTGATTCATATTTTATGCTACTACACCAATTAACAGCGGCAAATGTTGTTCTTTTGATCCATATTTAAATGGTTTATATAGATATAGATGACCAGTTTATAATATATGTATTGTTTAAAGGTATGTTAACACAGCTACAACCAAATTATGATGCATTGAAATGTAGCTTCAATGCTTTTACCTAAATAAAAGGTCTCATTTGTGTCCCCTTCTAAATATCTCTTCCCATGGCTTCTTCTGAAAAGACACTGAGATCAAGTCCCTTTAATTCTTTCTCAGAATTGTGTTAGTAGGGCAGGACAATCACATATTAGAATTTAAAACATGTGTGCATGTATAGGTTATAGATTAAAGACTGATTAAACCTTAATGTGATTGCTTTGATTGAAATAAAAACAAAGGATTCTGTATTTCTCCACCTCAGGCTGTGAAGAAGGTGAGCCCTCATTTAAGATATAAAAATATATGGAAATGTAACAGTGAACTGGAAAAAATAATCAGAACACTAAGAACATTTATTTGGTGTCTTCTGGTGTCTAAGGAGTTTAAGGGGTTTATTTGGGGCTGTAACCTGGAGCCAGGTAATTTTTACTTTTTATTAACCAATAATAATAATAATAATCTAACTTCTAAACCCTGCCTGCCAGAAGTCCTCAAAGTGTTTCAGCACCGGACAGCTCCCTCTCGCTCCTCCGCCACAGGTGTCGGTGCTGTTTAGCCGACACATGCGCAGGGAAGAGATTATCTCAAACGAATGACCTTTATAGTGAGCGTTGGAAATGTGAGTTTTCATAGATGCATGATCTATTTTCATTCCTTTTCTCCCCCTCCCCCTTCACAGTAATCCCGGTTAACTTGTGAACTAGTAATGCCCGGCCTGCGAGATAAAGTCAATGACAGGACTTCAATCTGGGGCATCGCAGGATTTTCTCCGTGGATGAAGCGACGACCATGGGATTAAATGAAAGATCGACGTCCCCAGATCAGCGACTGACAACTCAGAGTGAATTGAAATCAGACCTTTTCAAAACGCACAACTATTAATGCCTCGACACAAATTGCTTGCTTGAGCTGCTTTTTGCTAAATGTCAATATTAGAATAAGCCTCTTTTACTAGTTGTATACTGTCTGTTGACTTGTTGTGTTTACCAGGAAATCATCAGACAAATAAAAGACGTAAAACCCATGCGATTGAAAATAAACAGAAATCGAGTCACTTTAAACCAGCCAACATAAATAACTTTAACATTTTAAAATCATACCCGTGTTAATATGTCCCGGTCCTCCACAGAAGGTCTGGCGGATGATACTCGTTTTTCAGAGTTATTTCTCTGTCAATAAGCGGTGAAGTGTCGCTGTGTCCCACAGTGTGAGCCTCAGTGTGGGACACTCTGCGGGGGATCTGGATTTTAACCTCCCCGGTGAAGCTCCTCCCCCCGTCCCTGTCCTGCTGACGCGCTTGAGCTCGCGCGTGGCCGGCCCGTGGCTCAAGCTCTAGTCGTCGTGTGTGTGTGTGTGTGTGTGTGTGTGTGTGTGTGTGTGTGTGTGTGTGTGTGTGTGTGTGTGTGTGTGTGTGTGTGTGTGTGTGTGTGTGTGTGTGTGTGTGTGTGTGTGTGTGTGTGTGTGTGTGTGTGTGTGTCACTTAAACTCCAGACAAACAGGAGAGGCCCGGGCCTTTGTTGCTTTGCGCCAAATCCGCAGCACGTTCGCATTGAGCGGCGCAGAGACGCGCTCAGTCGGCTGAGCCTAACTGTATGTGACAGCTTGAAGTTGCGTGTGAGCAGGTGTTTTCTCCATCCCTTCTTCCGTCCAGCCATCCATCCCTCTGCTCTGCGGAGACAGGCTGTTGAACAAGTTCATCTCACCCAGGCGGCAGCTCTGAGCAGCCGGGTGAGTTTGCTCTCGTTGCAGCATCAGTATATCTCTGGGACTCTTTAATGGCCTCCTCTCTGCACTATGGAGGTCCTTCTGCAGCTTAAATAACCACAACTCACACTGAATGTTCTAGCAGGACTTCTGATTGAAGTGTCACTATATATATTATAATATAGTTACTGGTAATATTATATTGGTATTATTACGGCATTTAAAAGCTTTTAACAATCTTAATGTTTTGATTTACAATTAGGTTGTCTTAATTGATAAAAACAAGCACATAACTCAAAACTCAGTTGGTCTGAGCACATTCAGTTCAATCTAACTGCTTAATGTGATTACTTTAGTATGTGTGTGTGTACGCGCATGTAAACATCGTTAGCTGGAAATATGATTTATTTGTCTATACAGTAATTTCATTTGAAACTCTTGTTCTTAAGATATATACTATTTATTTATTAAAATACCAGAAAACTTGAAAGTCAAAGTATGATGAAAGCAAGCTGAGATTATTCCATTTTCAATTAAAATAAAAGGAGGTATAGGATTTGTTCATTTACCAATGATTTAGGCGGTACATAAAGCTGGCAAAGAAGCCCCAACAAACACTGCTTTACAGTAAGTGACATCACTAAAGGCAATTTATCAGACTTCATGCAGCTCCCTGCAGCCACAAAGCTTCTTAAACAACTTTTAATCACAAATGCAATAAAATGCATTAAAACGTGTATTTGGGTAAATTATCCCATGTACTTTCTTAACCATAAGGATTGTGGCCGTTCTTGGAGTGATTGTTACTGTGATTCATCACCCCATAATAATGATTATAGATCAAAGTTCAAACTTAATTCTAGTTGTAGATATGGCATTGATATACTTAATTAAAGTGTATGGATACATTAACGGTTGCAACTAACAATTGTTTTTGCATTGTCGATTATTTTTTGCAGATTATTTTCTACATTAGTCAGAAAATAGGAACAAATGTCCATCCCAGTACCTCAGAGTCTTAGGTGATGTCTTCAAAAGTCTTGTTTTGTCAGTCCAAAACCTAAAAATATTCAATTGAATCCAATAGAAACCCAAGAAAAGCAGGACGTCTTTACATTTGAGGGGCTGAAAACTACTTTTTTGCATGAAAAAAAAACAGAAAACAATTAAAAAGTGACCAAAATAGTTTGTGATTACTTTTCAGTCAATAGATAGGTTTAATTGTTGCCGTTTAACATTCCTTAAATATTAAATTATAATTGAATATTTCTCTGAATCACACTTCAGTGACAAAGACGTGCACAACAACATTATATATTATAGACCCTCATCAACACTGATCGGGGAACAGAGAGCAGGGAATGTGCATGATTTGGAAACAGAGCACCACATGCCCTAATAGGGAGAATTGAGGTAGGTCACGAGGTTATCCGCACACCCAGACAAGGCTCTTCTCGATCCCCGTTCACTCCCAGGCCGACCACCTTCCCCACTGCCCCTCCCTGTGGGTCTCTGCCTTTCCTATTCCACACCTGCAGCCTGAAATGGGAATAGCAGAGCCGGGCCTCTTGCATCCCAGGAGTGGTACTAGCAGGGGAATATAAGAGCTGAGGCCCTGTGTCCCCATTACTTATACTCATAACACCTTTAATACAACTTAGTCAAATCAGAATTTGTATTTTAAATTGTTTTAGGGCTATAAAGTTGCATACATAAACACCTGTAATGTTGAAACTGAAATGTTTCCTTTATTTGTATTCTTCTCTGTTTGACCCACTTACTGTGTATCACTGTCTTCAGGTGGGGCTCAAGTGTAATTCTGTATGTGCGCCATAATGTCCCATAAGATCCCTCAGTGCTGACCACACATGATGAAGTCCTGCTGCAGATGGCCCTCTCTTAAACATATCTCTTATTTTAACAGTCTGTGGCTCAGATGCTCATCTATTCTCCACCGGCTGCTCAGCGCACTCAGCATGTTCACATGGCTCAGAGGACACCGCCTCACCTTATCTAGGTATGTTCGTGAGATGGGAATTCAGTTTATTATAATGAAATACGAAGGACAGATAAAACTTCACTCCAGTACACACACAAACATGACCTTGCCATGAATCCCCTGTGAATCTGTTTGTGACAGTGGGGGAAAGTGGGCTTTTTCCATCTGTCATACTGGAAGTCCTCCGAGAGATGTCATCCCCACAGCAAGAGGAGTGAGTGCATGTCAGTGCGTGTGTGTGTGTTTAGAGTAGTGGAGGGATTGCATATGCAGCAATCAAATACATTTTTCCTCCAACAATATCCAAAGCCTATAACAAGGTCAGCGCAATGCATCAAGATTTTATCCATCACTCTGCATATGTCAGTAACCACTAAGAATGACAATGCGGTCTCCAAATTGTTTGGAAAGCACAAAAACAACTCCAGAGAATGAACGTTGCTCTGTATTTCATGGTCCCGCATCAACTTTAGAAAAGGCCGGCATCTAAGCCAAAACCTGAACCTCCCTCCAGCCGAGCACCGACCCTGGGGAGACAGGGGTGATGTTGACCATGTGTCCTACTAATCATCTCAATGATCGACCCCACGACTGGGTAAAATAGACACCCCCCTGCCTGAACCCCTAAACCCCCTTAACCCTTCCCTAAACCCTCTGTTGGCCCCCCGTTGTGCATGCTCATTGGCTGACCGCCTTCAGGCGTCCCTTTTCCACGGGCCCATTGTCTGGCCCCATAAGCAGCTTTGTTTCTGCATGTGCAGCTGGGCTGGCCCGCGCAGCCATTAGCCACAACACGCTAAAAGGAGAGCGGGATAATATAATTACAAAACAAAAGTCAGGTGGCTCACGAGATCTGCCAGAAAAAGCCCATTTGGGGGAGATGCGAGGACACGCTGGCGGGTGGCCAGCTATAATTCGATTATGAAGTTGTGTGAGTGACAAAAGAAACAATTGAATCTTTTTTTTCTTTTATTTGCCACACTGTGGTCTAATTTGATTTCATCGGGGCCTTAAAAAGAAAGCAGTCTGAAAAGAGAGAAGATTTACTCTTCTAATTTCTAGAGTCACCGGCTCAGAAAATGTAATATGCTCTGACAAAAAAGCGAGAGAAATTCTTCCCTGGGCTGACTTTATTGTTGTTGAACACTTTGACTGCATGTGAGGCCCAATTCAGATAAATCGCTGAGGTTTTCCTGCGAACTGGTCTTGTGCTCTTGCTTTGCATGAATGCACACTGACGGGCGGACAATGGGATCAGTGGCAGATCCATCTCCTGTTATACTTTCTTCAAACAGGGCTGCAAGTGTGTCCCCCTGTTCTGTCGGCAGACCAGAATTTATCCTGTTAGTCACCCTAGATGAGTGAAAGACTAAAATCAACCCCCATCCCAGCTGGACACACACACACACACACACACAACACACACACCACACACACACACACACACATTGACACACAGCGCACCCACACACACGCGCACACACACAACACACACACACACCACACACACACACACACACACACACACACACACACACACACACACACACACACACACACACACACACACCCACACGCACACGCGCACACTTTACCCCACACTGGGGAGTTAGACACACAGCTTTATGGACAGCTGATAAGAACAGGTTTAGCTGGTGGCTACTGTTTGAAGCAGGTCAAGCAGAACATGATCTGTTAATGTCTTTTTGTTTCTATAGTTCATTCTGAAAAAGACTGCTTTTTGTTTTTTGTTTTGCTGTTTTTATAGACAATAAGCAATTGTGTTAGATGCACACATGCTCTTAACGCTGAAGGGTTGGTGTCAGTATTGTGCCCACGCGGGGTGTGTAAATGCCCATTTTTTGCTCCATTAGGCACAGTTTGATCGTGCCCCTGGGAGATCAGCACATTCTCTTGGTCTGTGAGACTGTTCACGTGAGGCTACCCTGCAGATTAACCAACTCTCTGATTTACCGTTTTATTTGTACAAGTGGAAGTGCCACTGAGGGCTAGAGAAGCAAAATGTGAATATATATGTTATTTTATTCCTGCTATCGAAACATTTCAGGAAACAAAATAAGCAGATGCGAAACATTGATATATCCATAAAAATCTTTTTTATTTGTATTTTATTTTAAACAGAAAAGTTGAATTACATTTATGAAGACCTCTCACTGAGAAAATCCTTTTTCTTGGGAATATTATTATTTCAAGTGATTACATAATGAGGGTTATGAAATGTTTGCTTGTTATTTAGAAGATGTCAGCTTTAGTTCCTGGGGGTTGCAGGAAATGCAGAGCCGATGTACTTCTTCCCATCGCCGTAGAAAGAGTTTTCCCATGTGTATGTTTGGATCATGAGCTCCTTCCCTCCCAGGCTCAGGCGACACCTGCGGATGAGGGATAATATAAAAAAAATCGGAATCAGAAACGATCTACATGCAAGAAAACATCGCAGGTCCTTTAGGTATACTCACTGTTTTCCAGGGCGAGTGATGTAGCAGAGGCTGTACAAAGCAAAGTCAAATTCAGGGCTGCAGCCAATGACTGCAGATCCGACCTGCTTGAAGTAGCCCTCCCACATAAACTGCATTCCCAGGACATCAGGGTAGGAAGTCCACTGAGAGCAGGGGAAAGAAAGAAAGGAGAAATGACGGAGTGCTACACATTTCACATTTTAAATGAACACATTGAGGTCTGTGTTGTGTATGCTTACAGGCCCATTGAAGCTGTGGCTGTAGTAGTTCAGCTTTCCGCTTTTCTCCAGAAGGTAAAACTGGATCCAGTTGTGGAACCCAGACACTTTTCCTCCCTTGATCTCACCTGTCACATAATGTGTTTCTTAATAATCATGAAAAAACGTTTTGGGGCAAAACATCTGTGCTTTTTGGAAGAAATCTGCACTGTCCGAACCTGCAAAGATGTGTTCAAAGCCGCTGGAGTCCTTCTTGTTGTTGTTGCGAGAGTACAGACCAAACCACATCATCTTCAGGTCCTGAAGGAACTCTTCCTCTGAAGCGTAGACGCCTTAAAATACAGAATCATATACAGAACACTGTAAGCACTATATATGTTAAATTGTGAGAGAAATACATGAGGCAAAGATACTGCACGTGTAAAAGGCAATCGTGGAATTTTAAGAGTCCTTTAAAATCCTTTTACCTGTAACGTTATCCAGTAGATTAATTTAAACACTGAAAATAGGACCATAGAGCTCATCTGACACTTTAATGGCGCCAATTTGACAACATATAAACAAATATAGTCTTGAAAGAAAACAACTGGGCTTAAATTTGTGATTACAATTTATTTTGTAATGTTGGCATGTGGCTGGTTACTCCCCCCCTGCTGTTACATGTGGACATAGTTACCCTTGGTGTAGAGGAAAGCAAACAGCTCGCGGCCCAACTCGGTGTTGGCCATGGTCTCCCTGACGAAGTCTTCCTGCTCGGCCAGCTGCTGCGGGCTGAAGTCTTCATTCTGACCGGTCATCCTGTTATAGTTGTCCAGCACCGCCAGGAAGGCAGTGTAGGTGGGCCTGGAGAACAGAACCTTCTCGTTCAGGTATCGGAACAAGCTGGGGGCACAGAATCAAACACATGATGAGACAGCAAAATAGGGTAAAATATACTGAACATTAGGGTCAAGAAGATATCCTCACTTTCCAGAGGAGAGATCGTTCATGGAGCTGGTCTGAGAGTCGTGCACCAGAGCCTGAGGGTTAATGATCAGCTCCGAGGACGAAGCCTTGTTTGAATCCAGAGCGTAGAGCGCCTCAGAGACAGACTTGATCTCAGCATCAGTGATCACACCACCACTGCCGCCGTCGCCTCCTCCATCACCTGCACAACACCACACACACAGATTATGTCTTCATCATATTAGTGTTTCAAATGGGGACCAGGTTAAACAAAAAGAAAGCTATATGAAAACATAGGTTTACAATGTCTCACACAATTTATCATTATTTAATAAAAACACTTTCTCAAGTCTCACACTTCAACAAGCTGAACTACTCATCCATGCAAGTCCTGTTTATGCAATATTCTACTGATAAAGCATGTGTTTGGGAAGTGGGCACACAACTGGAAAATGAAACTTTCAAATTATACTACACAAGAGTTTGTAAACGGGTGTTTTCATATAGTTATGCTGTTGTCCAACGGGATCCTAATTGGGTTCAATTTATCAACACTTTCGACTGTCGATATTTCATTTAACGCGGAGGCATGCAAATGAAACAAAGCTTTCTTGAAGAATTTAAGGAAACAGGTTGAGTGATTTAATATACTAAAATATTGTTTTGAGGGTTAAGTACATTATATAAAATAAAATGGTAGTTACTAAGTTCCACCTTGAGCAACTTCAAAGTTAAAGTTAATCTTCCCTCATGATATTGTAATGATAATATAAAACACTCCGCAATGGTCATTCTTCACAATGAGTACTTTTACCTACAGTTCAAGTTGAATTTGTAAGTAAGACTTCTGTAACTTTACTTTAGCACATTTTTTAAGGAAAGACGTGTAATGGAGTATATTTATATTGTAGTATTTATTTTTATATTATAGGAAAGGACCTTAATACTCCTCCCACCACTGAGTATTATAACTGTTGAAGAATGGTGCAGTTCAGAGGGAAGAGCAAACTGAACTTTGTTTTGCTTGCAGTAGGTTTTATAGCACAACAGCAGCACCTGCTGGTCAAACACTGAACAAATATTTGACACAAGGGAGGTCGGCCACTAAAGCAAACAGTGTTAAAATATTCAGCCTTCACTGAAGGACACTTACTATTACCACCATTTTAAAGATTTTTATTACGAGTACGTTTCTTCATTTAACATCTTTCTTTAGTTAAAGTTAAGATTAATTATCAGCAAAAATGTAGGCTACTTGAAGTATCAAAAGTAAAAAGTCCCTGTGATCAATATGTTGATATATTTAAAAAATAAATGACTTTATTAATACAAATGCATACTTCCTCTACAGTTGGGTAGTTTAGTCCAGTGGTTCCCAACCTGGGGGCTGTGACCATACAAAGGGTCCAAAACAAATCTTAGGGGTCGTGAGGTTAGAAGGAGACGTAGAAAGAATAAAATAGTTGTACAGTTTTCTTTGGATTCTTCTATCATCTTTGCTTTTTTGTGAAATGTTGGATTATTTCACTCTTGAAGCCTAGAATTGTTGTTTAACTCATGGTTTCTGACTGTTTTCAGTGCAGCGCCATGGGACTGATGACGGATTCGATTCAGTGTCCACCATGGGAAAGGGACCAGGTGTCACGAGTAGCTGCTTATGAAAGACAAACAAATAAACACAGAGTGGGGGGGTCTTACTGTCACAGAGGTCTGCGTAGTTGCTGCAGCAGTTTTGGTGCTGGGCACACTTGGAGTTGCAGTGGCACTCGTTCTGAGAATTGAATTTCTCATCACATCTGCCTTTACAAGATAAGGCCGAAGCTAGAGACAAAAATAAACCGTAAATGTTCCACAGAAGTCTACTGAGTGATAAAAAAGAATTAAACCCTCATGGATGAAAATGTAATATAATTGAATCTGTGATACAAACAATAAACATTAAGCTTGTATCTCTACATGAAGATATTATTTTTGAATGAATCTGAATTCTATTCAAACAGAAGACATTGTGCATGTTTTCTCAACTGGATGTATTTATGTAATGTCTGCATATCTTTTTAGCTACACCCACACAAGAAACAACAAGAAGTATCTCTCAACCTCCAAATGCACAATGGAAAATATTGCTTCACTGGAAAAAGTGAATGCTTTAGCAGTAACGGTTAAAAGGTATTCAAAGGTCTGAATCAAAACTGGAGGTGTAATCTATTATCAAATACACTGCCTGTGGTTTTAATCATTATCCAGTACTACTAAATATGTCTTATAATCATTTCTAAGTATTGGTTTTGCTTACATACATAATAAGTCAACTTAAAATAGTAAAAATATCCTGCTTGATTTGCATGATAATCAAATTCAAGTACATCATTCAGAATATTTTAAGATATAAAACAAGCTTTTGTCACTCACTTTTACAAACGTCGGTGTAGTCAGAGCAACAGTCTTTGAAGCCCTCACAGGACGGGTTACACTGACAGGAGAAACTGTTGTCGGTGCCGTAACCACAGCGACCCACACATGTGTCCAGAGAGTCTGAGGAGAAATTCGACACATTAGCAACTTAAAAACAATCCTATTTTAAACTGTAATCAGTGTTTGGGAGGCTACTTGGAAAGCAAGGTTTTGCAAGCTTACGTCACTTTTGAAAAGGTTGAACTACAGCGAAGCTACCCTAGGGAGGAATTTAGTTTAACTGAAGTTATTGAAAAAAAGTTGTTTAAACTAATCTGTTGGGGGAGGGGGGGGGGAAGGTCAATGCAGGCCTATGGAGACAAAAGCAAATGACATAATAACATGATAAAGTCACATGCCAACAACCTTTTTAAATATTTAACTTATATTTAAAAGCATTGATGGCCAAAGGGGGTTTCATTTAATTCAATAACTGTATTTGTATGGCACATCTTTTGGATATATTATGTCGTTAATTACACAAAGAAGGCAAAATAAATATAAATGTAGTTGAACCACTACCACTATAAAATATAGTTAAAATACCAGTCCAATCACATGTAGCTAACTTCTCCCGAACAGTGCCTGTAGTAATAGCTTATGGTGATAAAAGAGCATAAAAAGAATCTTACTGCTGTATCCCTGGTGGAACAGGGTCACCCAGAGTGCGAGGAAAGCGATGACCTTCATCTTGGCTCCGCTGCAACGTGATAATAGACTGACTGTTTCAACGTTCCTCTTTTATAACAAGTTTTGCACGACCCACCCAAAACTGAGTTAAATCCAGCCCATTAGTCAGGGTGCATCACTTCATTGCAATGATGTCCCAGATAACTTATGTTGTCAGGTCTTCCTAACTGTGAGCTTTTGTTCCATATTGTGATTTGTGAAGGATCAATAATCGATATGTTGTCGAACTGGACGTCCTATCAATTATTTATTTCATAAAGTGTAAATAGAACTTTCTATTTATCTCTTCTTTGTGAAACTGCTCACCTGTTTAGCACACAGGCGGCACTTTAATGTATAAAAACAAATCCATATCAAGGTGCGAGCTGCGATACTGACTTTAATACTGATTTAATCCCTTTCATTTTATTACAATTTAAGGTGCTACTGTCAAACACAAATTAAATTTAAAGAAAAGAAAATTACAGGACTAGACGTTCATATTTCTCCTGCAAAAAGGTCCAGATGCTGCAGTTCACAGGCTTTGTGCAAGGTCAGTGAACTCAGAATAGCTCACTGCCTCTCTGTCCGAGGGCACATGCTCCCACACTACAAATATTACACTGTGAAGATGCATGTGGGCCCTCTAAATAATGAATATATGTATACAATAAAATGGTGATTATTACTCTGAGGATTTTACATGCTTTAAAACAGACAATTACAAAAGAAAATGACAGCTGAATTTCAGTTAGAAACAATAAGAGATAACCTCAGTAGATCAAGAACAGTTTGCAGTTTTACCTGGGAGTTGATGCCTTTCTGTCAGTGTAGTTTGAACAGTAAAAGTTGAGGTATTCAAATATTTTACTCAAGTAGGAGTAGTGAGACTGCAGTGTAGTTAAATTCCTGCATTCAAAAGTGTACCAAATGCAGTTATTTAATGAAATGTACTTTAATCACCCATCTCTGTTTCGCCAATAAACATAAATTAAATTGTAGCTTTTTATTTCCCTTATCAAGTATAGTGCCCATAGTGAGTTAGAAAAGAGAAAGATAGAGAAAGTGTTTATTTCACAAATTAGAAGCATAACCCAAAAGCTAGTTAACAAAAATAAAAAAGAGTATTGTATTAAAAGGAGAAACAGGAAAGGTGAGATAGAGGTACGGGTGAGTGGGGCTAAAGAAATGTAAAAGAAACAGGTATGAACAAGAAAATGGCTAATGTATTCGTTGTTTTGTCTGACTGTTTGTCTGACTGCCTTTTGTTTGTTTGTTTTTACTCCTGTTTATCTTTGTAAAGCGACCTTGGGTCCCATGAAAGGCGCTATATAAATCCAAGCTATTATTATTATTATAATTGTGATTTGAGTGATAGTATCCGATGCTCCCACTGTATACTAGAAGGATAAAGCAACACGATACAATTTGATTACTATAGGTAAAATCTGAAATATTATTTTTAATTACTTTACGAACTGCTGGGTAAATGTATCATTAATCATTAGTTGATTTATATTTAATTCGGATTCCCCAAAGTTACTGGTAACTAATGTTGTCAATTATGTAGTATTTTAAAAAGTACAATTTCCGCTGTTCAAATAATAGCCTTTAAAGTAGCATAAAATGGAAATAGTGAAGTGCCTCAATATTGTAAGAAGAATACATTATAAAATATTTTTAGTAACATGTAACCACAAAAAACAGGTATGTGGGTGTGGGGGCGTGTGGCGCAGTGGACTAGTGGTGTTCGGATCAGGGGAGCACAGGTTCAAACCTTTATATAAAGTCTATGGTTCAAACCCCACTGCAGTCAGCATGTCGTTGTGTCCCTGGGCAGTGTCCCTGGGCAAGACACTTCATCCCAAATTGCTCCTGTGGGGATTGCCCACAGTATTGAGTATGTAAATCGCTTTGGGTAAAAGCGTATAACAAGTAACATGTAATGCAATGTATACTGTATGTAGCCTACTCCCTCCTGCTCTGTAGGGGGCGCTGAGCAGCGATAAGAGCCTTCTCACAGTCTGTTTGACACTGCGCGGCTTCCGTACACAGCGTGGATTCAATGACACTCTGAGCTTTCATAAGTCATTTCAGTCCAACAAGGTTTAAAGATGTCGTTTACCTTTGTATTCAGAAAAATTACAAGAGACCTTGCAAAGGTGAGCACAACTAGCTTTACACTAAGTCTTATTTGTATCATTTTACCTAAAGCTCGAACTGTCATTCACTGGTTTGTTGGTTAGCTTCATTACTTTCTGATTTACCGGCTTAACATTACTGTGCCAGTCTCAATATGTTACCTCGCTAATATATTCTTAATTCATGTGTTATCTGATATCACTCTTGTTAGACGTCTCGCTGTAATATCTACTCAATAGATATACTGGATTTTTGAAGTTATGCAATTATCCCTTCTGTCATCCTCAGGTGAACACTTGCCATGTACAGTCACTACACACAGGTCTCCAGCTCCTTGCAGCTGATAAATCCCTGCTGATGAAACTGCGGAAAAACACCGGCTACACTTTCATTAACTGCAAGAAAGCCCTGGAGAAGTTTGATAATGACATGGCACAGGTAACCCACATCTCTCAACCCCTCTGCAGAACAATATCTGTATGTTGTCTTCTGAAACTACTATCTTTGTGAATGTGTTACTGATGTTAATGTCCAATCTTTCAGGCAGAGACCTGGCTGAATGAGCAGGCGCAGAAGGAGGGCTGGAACAAAGCAAACAAGCTGGAGGGTCGCAAAGCCAAAGAGGGGCTGATTGGCCTGTTCATGGGAGATAAAGCTGCAGTTATGGTGGAGGTAAGGCCCGTGATACAGTGCTTAAGGATGCATTATACATATTTCTACATTTATTTTCTTAATAGAAGAAGACTTTTAGATTATTTGACTCTTGAGAAACAAGCCAAATAACCCTACCTCTGACGTTTTAAACCAAGCTACATTTTGAGAATCAATGATTTGTTTGGTGGAATTTTTATGTATTTAGCATTAGTGTTTTTAGTGGGTGAAATCATAGGGTCGGATTGTTTTAGAGAGGAGTGTACCTCTGGAGATAATTTGTCTCAAGGTAAAAAGCTACTGAACAATGAACGCTGAAATAATTCAAACCGGTAGAAGCACTCTCAAACTTTGTCTTTTGTCATTCTCTTAAATAAGTGATCCCCACTTATAGATAACAACATATTATGCTTTTAATTACCAGAAGCATCAATACTTAAATTGATCACTTTCTAGTTTGTTTGATGTAGTTGCATTCAGATATATCTGTCTCTTTTCTTCTTGTGCGCTTGGTGCAGGTTAACTGTGAGACAGACTTCGTTGCCCGCAATGAGAAGTTCCAGCAGCTGGTTAAGGAGGTGGCGCATGCAACCTTGGCTCACCACTGGAATAAAACACAAAGCCAGGGCGGATATGTGAAGGTAAAACCACATAGTAACTTCAGGAGCTGTACATGGGGAAATTCCCATCATTCGATGTCATGTCGTTTGATCAAAATATGTAAATAGAGACATACAGAGGCCTAGTTGTCTGGATGAGCCTTTTGTGAGAGAGATGCAAACAGCAGGACCACAGGCTGAGCACGGGCACGGCTCGAGTTAAACCAGTCAATACATCTTCATAGTTACAAAGTTATAAGTATTGCAAGTACTTTACATAAATACACACTGCTTCATCTGCATACTACATTTTAGTGTTTTATAAGCAATTTTTCATATTGACTTCTTAAACATGGTAAGGCTGTTTTCTTTGCCCTGCTGTAATGCTGCTTCCATACATTGTTTGTTTCCAGAGTGTCCTGGTAGGCGATGAGTTAAACAAACTCAGCTTGGAGGCAGGAGCTTCACTTTCTGACAGGGTGGCTCTCACAATAGGTCAGTAAGAAAATGTTTCTTTAATTATCTCTAAAACACTGTTGTCTTGGTTTCAAACACATATACCTCCTCGGTCCCTCTACTAGAATTTTAAGTTTTTCTTCAATTTGGGTTTCATGAGCAATGATGGCAGTATAAAACATAATTCGGAAATAAAGTTAATGTTTTCTTGTAAGTTTGTTTCCATGGATGCTTTACATTCTAAACATTGTTGGGCATAAACATCCACATCGTATAACACAACTGAGAAGTGTGAGAGGGATTGTGACAGATTTACAGTCACACAATATCATTGAAGTTTTGTTAATATACAAGATGTTAATTATGTACAACTTATCATCAATTAACAGCAAAAAAAATAACAAACAAAACATCTTTTGATCTATACTATAAATATTCCATATCCCATAGTCACTATGAGTTACATTAACGGTAATGTCCCTTTAACCGGCATCTAGTGCCTATGTTTGTGTCCTTCTTGATTCTCTACTTTAAACCTTTGCATATTCCTAGGACTATTTTGCACATCCTTACAACACTCACACTTTTATTTATTTTTATCTTTTATAGTACTTTTTACAATAGTTTGAATATTATTTCTATATTTGCTCTTTTTTTACATTTTAATTCCTCTTACTGTGTTTATGTACGCACCATTATACACCAAAGCAAATTCCTGTCATCTGTAAACCTTCTTGGCAATAAACCCGGTTCTGAAGTAAAACACGTTTTGCTGAAATCAGTATATTTGCGGTTTATAAAACATGTTTCCCTCTTTCTCCCCAGGTCGCCTCGGTGAGAACCTGTCAGTGCGGCGGGCGGTGGCGGTGGGTGTCCCGGCTGAGTGGAACATCGGCTCGTACGTTCACGGTGGTGTGAGCGGCCAGACCGAGGTGGCCATGGGTCGGTACGGCGCCCTGGTCGTGTTTCAGGGAGGAGAGGAGGGAGCCCAGGAAGTTCTGGGGCGTAAACTGGGACAGCACATAGTGGGAGAGTCCCCGGTGTCCCTGGGCAACATGGATGACCTCCCCTGTGGGGAAAGTGAGACCCGCCTGCTGCCTCAGACCTTCCTGGGAGACCCCAGCAGGACCGTGGCTCAGTTCCTCAAAGGTCAACAGGCTCGAGTGCTGGACTTTGTCCGATTTCAGTGTGGCGAGACAGCCAGTGAAGAAGCCAAATGAAGGATGAGAATTTATCTAAAAGGATTTGTCATGTGTCTTAATTAAACATGAAAATGAGATGCCCATTTATCCAACAGTCACACAGTGTCCGTGTGAATTACAAAGATATACATATATACAGGTCAACCAACAAATTACCAATCTAACAATAAAATGTGTTTGCTTTTCTTGGAAATCTTTGTCCAAATGAATTTGTTTTGAATTGTAAGACTTGTTTTTAATCATGGGTCAACCTGCTGACATAATTTACATATTCTTATGTTTTCTTAGTTCCTTCTATCCTTGTGTGTATTTATATGTTGTTGAATTCAAGAAAATTAATCAATTTGACCTCTGAGATGAAGTGGAGTGAAATTATAAAGTAGCACAAGTAAATGCAAGTAAAGTACATTACCAAAAGAGTTGTACTTAGCACAAAACTTGTAGTATTTAATAAACATTGCATTTGCTTGAAGCTAAAACTAAATATACTATTTCTAAGATTACTTTTATTAAACGGTGTGCCAATTGATGTATTTTTTTATAATGAACCATTTTTTAATCACAGACATGGAATCCTTCTGTCAATGGTAGAATAATAAGGTTGTAGTAAAATATGATCGATATTGTATAAAATAAACACATGAAAATGCTTTAAATCATAATAAACTTAAACACAACATAATTGTAAAAAGGGATGGTGGGGCATTTTGTTGCTGCACTCCAGCAAAAATGCGAACTATGCAACTGTGAAAAGGAGGACTGTGATTGGCTGTTGCAATAGAAGCTGCAGTGACGTCATCGTTGATGTAGTGCCGGTGTCCTCATTGTTTGAGAGACCCTGGCCCGTCTGTCATCACAGCCACAACAGACATGGTGAGTACAGATATTTCGCAGACTAATTCATAGAAATAGCTCAAATTAATAGATTCGTAATAAATGAAATTACGTTGTTCTTCATTCAGAGATTTTGAAGCGAGTCGCACAGTTAACGTTAAGCTAGCTGCGTATCTGCTGGCCTGCTTCTCTCTGTTTAAGCCTTTAGCCACAATCCTTGGCTGTACACTGGCTCCAATGGAGGATTAACTTGAAGCATCTGAATAACACTAACAACGGTCTGTTTTTCCTTTTGTCTCTACCAGTCTGACTTCACAGAGGACCAGATTATAGGTGAGTTAACATCTGATTACCAAAAGGGATTTCTCTTTTTTATATATTAGGTTATATACACATACCCTGTCGTAGCATTTTAACAAGCTTCATGAATTCGTCCATCTGACCCACCTGACCCTGTAGTTTGACTACTGTCTCGCTGGACCCCTTCAGGTAACTCTGACAGACTGGGATAAAACATCACATGTTCTAACCGTGTGAGGTTCAATGCTTGTCACGATTTACACCTGGTAAATACCATCTGAATTTATCACAAGCAGTAAAGAATATCCTACCAACCAGTTTCAAACATGTCAGCAGCAGTCATAAAAGTGTAGACAGTAAGTGTTTTTTTTAGCCATATACAGTCTATGAATTTAGCAGACAGCATAAGGTTCACTTCATGTTGCCAGCATCCGGCGCTATGAAAATGATTTAAACTAGTCTTCAGATTAGTCGTTTTCCTCATGAAACTTTACATTTGGAAAAGATGTTGAGTGCTATAATAAGCCACTCTACTTAGTCCATACACCCAATGGATCATGGTGTAGGCTCAGACTTAAAGGCGTGGCACGTGTCACTAAAACTATCCTTTTGTGGCACTAAAATAGTTTGTCAGAACATAGTACGCATGAATGATTCAGGTCACCAGCTACGTGTTGTTTAACATAACAAGTCTTGTTGGAGTTGGAAACAATTGGTGCTTTTAAGAATAGTATTTCTCCAACAACCCCCACCACCCACAGGCACAAGGGCTGCTGCAGGCAGTGAGTGTTGTAGATTATGTGATAAAACACAACACAGCATGTTTCAGTTTTTCCTTTAAAGTGGGTCAGCTGTTGATCTGATGCAAAGTCATTCCCATGACAAGAAAACCTACTAGCCTATGTAAATCTGCTGATAACATTACATTAAATGTTATTTGGCTTTCAATTTTTTCTAAAGCGACTTACATACACTTACCATGTAGAAACAGTAGCAATTTGAGGATAAGTATTTTACACTAACATGTTGTCGGCAGGGAAGGGATCAAACCCTAAAACCCCTGATTGGCAGACGTGACGGCATCATTAACAGACCAAAGTACTTGAAATAGGTGCTGTGTTATTGTTAGCAGCACATTGCTATAATGCTTTTGTTGTTGTTGAGCAGTTTAAACTGATAGGACTCTTCCCTACACAGAAGTGCTCCTGCCATGCTACTACAGAAAAGAGTAGACTTAATGACATGTCTCAATGACATGTGTCAAATACAACACTTTTATTCAATGAAATTCTACATGCAGTGTTTTGAGCCCTTTGGTGTTGTGCACATGTGTTTGCGAGTAATGGTTTTTAATGGTATTTTCAGCTAAACCTGACTACCTCTTTGTCTCCATATCAGAGTTCAAGGAGGCCTTCCTTCTGTTTGACCGGACGGGTGAGGGGAAGATCACCTACAGTCAGTGTGGGGACGTGATGCGGGCCCTCGGACAGAACCCCGTCAATGCCGAGGTGCTCAAGGTCCTGGGAAACCCCAAGCTAGAAGGCAAGGCTCAACTAAAATAGACCATTTCATCTTTCTACATTATCGTTCCCTTGCCTAACAGTTAGGTCGGATGTTGTGTAATCATTATAGCCCCTTATGGAATCATGTGCTGAACTTCCGTTTTTGGGCTTGTTTAGGGTATATATATTAGCATTTATTTGATTTTTGATGACCCATTAAAGCCTTTCATATTCACTACACAAATAAGGCTTCTTTTTTTTTAAATCAGTAAGGTCTGTATGAAGGTCTGTGAAAGGTATGCTATTTAAAATCAATGAATATATATGTTTTTTTTGCAATCCATGAATTGATGCATATAATTAGTTAGAGACCATCTTGTAATGGGATAATCACCCAAGCCCCTTCCATACTCATACCCCCTACTGAAAGCACCTATTCTTGAACCCTTCAGAAATTTCAACAACCTATTTGTAAACTTTAATCTTGCATGTTCTGAGGCTATAACGTTTGACAATATCTGTCCACCTACAAACAGACACTTATATTGTACAAGTATTTTCATTTTTCTTCCCGAACGATCTTACTGACAGCCATACTAATACACACCATTTCATAACAGCTCTATAGTTGTTTTAAATTAAACAACACTATGATTCATTCCCCTGCAGATATGAACTACAAGATGATGGACTTTGAGCAGTTCCTGCCCATGCTTCAGGCCATCGCTAAGAGCAAGGACCAGGGCTCCTTCGACGATATTGTAGAGGGTCTGCGAGTGTTTGACAAGGAGGGAAACGGCACAGTGATGGGAGCAGAGCTGCGCCATGTTCTCACTACACTGGGTGAGTCAAGAAAAACCTGCAAAACGAGTAGATCTTTCTTTCATCCTGATCTCGCTGAGAGGACCCATGTCTGTCCGTCTTATCTCCAAAGTGAAATCCCTACAGGCACTTATCTGTGGCAAGAACTTTGTAAACAAGCGGGCTGTTTTCACCTTATGGCCCTCCATCTATGAATTTTTTTCATGGCATCCTATACTTTACTTTTTTTAACTTTCTTTAACATATTATACTATAAATGTCTTGACTTTTTGAATGATCTTCTTTTGACATTTTGCACCAGGACATTTTTTACTTTGTGACAAAATATTACTTTTTCTATGACTTTTCTGCTACATACTAACATAAACAAAACATAAATAAATACAACAAATAAAATATTAACTATGACCTTTTTTCACATTTGTACATCATAGACTAGGATTTTAGTACCATCTGATACCATTCCTTTTCTCTGACCTTTTGATGATACTTTTATCACATCTTATGTGATGACATGTATTACATTGAAATGCATTGTAATTCTTTGTTTGTTCCAGGTGAAAAAATGTCAGAGGAGGAGGTGGAGACTCTTTTAGCGGGACATGAAGACGCCAATGGCTGCATTAACTATGAAGGTAAAACTGCGCAGTGTATGAAGACACTCTTAGACTATTTGTTTTCAAGTACTTTACTGTTCAACATGAACATACACTACTGTTCTGGATAGTCAGAAAACAACTAAAGCCATTGTGTTTTTGTCTCCTGTGCTCATTAATCCGTGGTCTCGTTCCAAAGCATTCCCCCCCTTCGTGTCCTCTAGCTGAGCAGAGTAAGAGCAGACCCCTAAAGCCTCCTTAACTGCCTGTATCAGGGAAGCCCATCACTGCTCAGGGGCTTCACTTTCAGCTCGAGAGTGAGTGAGTTCTGAAACACGTTGTAACAAGCCGAGGGAGCGCAGTGTAGCAGGTTTACTAACAACAACAGATGTGTAGGTCAGACACAGTCATTCAAATCGGGAGATGTGCTATTAGTGGCAGCCGACCTGGCCAATAAACGTTCATTCCCTTAACCAGAAGAGTAATGGACGCTTTGCAAACTGTTTCAGAACTACAGCCCCTACACTGAGAATATGTTCAAAGAAAAGATTCATTGTAGCCATTTCTGTAAACAATTTTGTTGACTGATATGATGATTAAACTATAGCTTTCTTAAGCATCAGAGCCTTTCATTCAGACATTGGAATCCGGACTTAATAATAGAATCGCCTGAATAAATAAATGAAAACCACAAAACCAAAACCATAGTTACAATAGACATTCTGGCTCTGTAAACTAAAGATAGTTTTTTGTTAATATTGTAAATCAGGCCAAATGCTGATCAGATCTGATCATTCTAACCCGTCCAAGTGTTCCAGGAAGGAGAGACCTTGCATTCTCACTAACAGATGTTTTGTGTGCAGTTTTTTCTGACATTCTTCAGATGAAATGCTGATGTTGTTTCTCTTCTCCTGACAGAACTCGTCCGGATGGTGATGAGCGGTTGAGGATTTCAGAAACACACTTCCAGCTTTAATTGTATTCCTAAATATTTTTGTATTGTTTGACCGTTCCATCCAAGTCACCCTATACCTCCAACAAGTCTGTCTTTTTCTTTTTTCACATCTTTATCTTATTTTGAAAGTGCCTTTTCTGTCTAATGTGAAGAAACCCTCTCATGTTCAGCCTCACAGGTTCAATCGGCACGAAGGTAAATGATTTCACCCGTTCCATTTTAGTTAATCAGCTCGTCTTGCTGTCAAGTTTTCTGTTGTTTTCTTTTCATTTGGATGGCTATGATAATGTGACATGTTACACCTAACAGTGTTGAATAAAAATCCTGCTTTCCAAACAGTCTTTCAGTCTTTGAGTCTTCAGCTTGGGTCAAATATTTTGTTATAGGTTTTAGATCACATAATAACAAGATATTATTGCTAAAATTGGAAAAAAATATATGAAAATGTATACCTGTATAAGTAGAATAATATGTATTAATACATAAACATATTTGATGTATTGTTGGGTAGTTTGATCTTCTGTCCTGTGAAAAACACGTATCTAAAAGCTTTCATGAGCTCAGAAAAACTGCCATCTTTTCAGCTTTGTGATGATACATGTTCCAGCTGCTCAAAAAAGCTTTTGAAATCGTTGATTTAGCTCAAGAAGTAGAAACATTTTCTGATATATAAAGGGACACATCGTATTTCATTTGATGTCAAATATTCAAAATAAACACGCCCAAACTAGAGATACA